CCTTGCTCGGGGCGTAATGATTAAAAAAAAAAAAAAAAAAAAAAAAACGAAGCGATACCCTGAAAATGCAATCATTTTAGTTTTGAGTTGATTGAATTTATGAAGTAGAATGTAAAATGTACTATATGTTTTCTCTGAATGCCCCACCCCACCACCAAAGTCACGTAGTAGTTTAAAAATTTAAAATAATTTTTTTTCAGTCATTTTTTTTTTTAAATGAAAGTAATTTTAATTCTATATGCAAAAGATTTTGAACTGTCTCTTCTTGATGTTAAATATGTTTCCTTTTTGTTTTCAACCTTGTCCTTACTCATCTGTTCGGTCCATGGTATTCTCAGTATTTACAACATATCTTCTTCATGACTTAGCGAATAATTTCTCTTTTCTTTTTTCCTGGAAAAAAAACTGCGTGTAACTAAATTTTATTTTCATTTACACCATTTTCCCGTCATCCAGAGCAGAAGTTATTCCTTTTCGTTTCCATTTTCTTTAAAACGTTGTCGTTGCTCACATGTTCGGCTCATGGTATTCTCAGCATCCTTCTGCAGCACCACATTTCTGTTGCTTCGAACCTGTTCTTCATCTTTGAGGAGATTGTCCAACATTCACTGCCATATGGAAGGACAGCTATCACGTAACAGTTCAGTTCTCTTTTCTTTGCTTCTAACGAAGTTTTTCTGTTTCTTAATACTCTACTTAGCTTTTGAAAGGCATCTTTCACTATCGCAATACGTCTTCGAATTTTTTTTGTCAGTCATTTTTTTTCTAAATGAAAGTAATTTTAATGTTAATTCTATATGCCAAAAAGTAAACAAGATGGCCACTCCTGTCGGCAATGTTAGGGTTAAATTGTAAAAAAATTCTTGTCTCTTAGAACTCATTGTTCCAAGATCTGTTTGTCAGTTGTTGTATATTAAGCAATAATAATGATAAACATTAGCCGTGCATTAACGTCTCTTGTGTTGCATTTGACTGGATGACGCTGCAGAGAGGAAAAGTCTTTATAGAAAGATACCGTGAAATAAACAAAACTTGTAAAGGAGGAACAGTTGAACGTTACGATGCACAAGTTTATATAACTGACAAAGACACACCTACCTTGTCAAACACGAAAAGAGTTTTTATCAGCAAATGCTTTTCTTCTTTCAAAGAAGAAGCTGATAATAGAGCGTTTCTACCGCAAATAAAGATAAAATATCCATTCATTTTCTGCAAAGTCATTTAGTCTCATTATTTAATGTATAATTCCAATTTCACGCGACATGCATCAATAATCTGAAAAAAATATTTAGGGAAAAATAGCCAAGTCATTATTTGCCTCATTTGAACTCATCCGAGTTTCATAAACAAAAGAAAAGTACAATTATTATTGTAAACATCACTTGATCAATTCATTCTTGTGTGTTTTTCTGATTTTATATTTCATAATTTCTTTTATCAATATGTTACAACTCTACGATTAGACAATTCGGACCCACTATAAATTTGGGGTCAAATCAAAACAAGGATTTTTTACGATGTCAGTCATAAATTTATTTTACAGCTCTGTAATTACAAATTGGAGATACCAAAATCAAACAAGTACAAAGAAACAAAGAAAATTACAGGAAATTGTGGAGAGCCATTATCCTGAGTGGACATGGCATATAAGGAAGACGATATAATACTTACCTGGCTTATGTCAGAGAGTATCCCCCCAGACGAGGCCCTGCCGAAGGGCAGAGTCTCGTCTCGGGAAATTGACTCCGTTTTTTACGTGGTCTCTAGGGAATTTTTGCCCGAGCCTACGGGCTCGGATACCCCACTTTAAACTCAGCCTTGTGCCACATCTTGCTGCGGGGGTGGGCAGCTAGTAAATAATTATAACAACACACATGAAGAAACTAGAAGCAATAGATGTGCAGTTCTACGGACGAATATTTAGAATGGCATGGATAAAACATGCGAATGGTGAGGTTATCAGAAAGACCAATACAGATGCAGAAGGACGTGTACCTGTGTTTTATAAATTACGCAAAAGCGTTCGATAAAGTACGCTACAAATATCTGTTAGAACTGTTCAGAATACTTGATATATCTGAGAAGGGAATTAGAATAATCAAGAATCTATCCTGACAGCAAACCGCCTGCATATGGATAGGAAAAGAGTTCAGCAGATATACAAAAGTACAACTGGGTGTAAGGCAATGGTGTATCTTCTCACCGGACTTATTCAACCAATTCACAGTACAAGCTAGGCGATTATGAAAGAGAAGTCCCACCAGAATTCATTATTGGCGACCACAATCTTAACAAAATAAGAAATGCAGATAACACAGTGTTGGTAGCAGACTCAGAAAGAAAACTAAAAAAGCTCCCACAGAAGGTAGTGAAAGAAAACAAGAAGAAAGGACTAAACATAAACTACAAAAAGAGAGAATGCATGGTTTTTAGCGAAGAGATGAGCTCAAAATGCGAACTGCAAGTCGGAGATATCTAACAGAAGACGGAAAATGCGACACTGACATCCGAGGACGCGTTGGGATAGTTGCATTCTAAAAGCTAAGCAGAATATTTCAGAAACAGAATGACTTCATTAAAAACAAATAAAAAAAGTACAGAACTGTTACTTGATATCTTTCCTCCTATATGACAGTGAATGCTAAAGATGAAGGAGAGACTTGAAGCAATAGAAATGTGGTTCTACAGAAGGATGCTGAGGATACCCTGGACCGAGAATATGGACAACGATAAAGGTGTTGGTTAGACCCAGTGACAAGACCCAAAGAGTGTGAGTTCAATACCTGGTTAAGGCAGTGGAGAAATTGGAGAGGGGATTTTATTTTTTTAAGCGAGGCGGGGAGCTACTAGCACGCAAGGGAGTACAGAGAATTGTAGTGAGAGCAAATAGGAATGATAGAGGAAAGGATGAAGAGAAGGATCGGGGATAGATCAGGACATCTGGAGACGTCGATTGACATTACATTTGAATAGTTGGAGATTATAGCTATCAGAGAAACAAGAAAAGAAGAGGGAGTTCCACAGGCGAGAAGTGCGAGACATGAAGCTATTGGAGTAGAAGAGACGGCTACATTTAACAGTTTCGACAGTGAAAGTGTGTGAGTGAGATGTCAGCCTAAGTAGAACGCTTAAATTCAGGGATCAGCGAAAGCAGCTCATCGGAGCAGTTACCATGAAAATATTTATAAAAAAGACAAAGGGAGGCGACGGCACGTCTGTGAGAGAGCGACTGCAGACGAGATGACGGATCAGGACCAATTACATTGCATATTCGTCTCTGGAACTTATCAAGAACCTTGAGACAAACAGAAGGGGCACCGGAATTAACAGGAGATAACTGATAACTGACATCCATTAAAAACATGGCACGTGGAACTAGAACAGTCTACCCCAGGCCGAAACGTTGTAATAAATATGGCGACAAAGATGAGGCCAATAGTCCGAATAATGTAAATAGTGTACATAATACCTCATCTTAGACATATAGAAAGATACAAAAGGCGACTTTTCTTAACATCGGGAAGAGACAGTTGAGATTTCTAGGGTACATAATGAGGAACGAGGGCTTTGAAAATTTGATACACACAGGACAGATTGAAGGCAAGAGGGACGGAGGAAAACAACGCATAACATACGTAGTGAGCATGGGTAAATGGATGACGAAACAGAGCTTAGGTGAAATAGCAAAAAGACAAAATATTAAGAGCTACGAAGGACAGGAAGTTCCGAGAAAAAAGAAAAATTAAAAATTCATAAAAGTATTTTCTGACCAATCAGAAAAGATCAAGCCACTCCAACACTTGTATAAACCAATATCAGTTCGAACTCCGCAGCAGAAGACTCATCTGAACTGCTACAATCATTTGCCTGTCCCTTGACCATTTTTGTCGGATACTCGTCGAAGTCACCTACACAAGAAACCCCAACGACCGAAGATAGTCCCAAAGGCTAGGAGCTTGATGTTAGTAACAACAGCCGAGGTCACTACGTGATGAAAACCTCTACTCCTACTATGCGATAAAGTACTTTTACGTGTATAGTTTTTATCACGTGATCTTTATCTGAAACTGTGATGCAATACCAACTTCTACGTATGCGAGGCACGTTGGAGTAATGGATAACGGCTTGGATTGAGGAATCGGAGAGTCGTGTTCAAATTCCAGTCGAATCCATTACAATCACGTGCTAATATCCTTGGGTAAATAACAGGAAAGACCAGGTTCTATAGCCTTGGATGGCAACTGGTCTGCCGCAGAAAGAAATGGCAACCTACTGCTAGAAAAAAAAAATCTGCCTCGACAAAGCGTGTATCACGCATGGCACATGGCTACACCCATGATTGCTTTCATGGTTTCTGTTCTTAATTGATTGCTGTTAATAGGTACATAGTTTGTCTTGATGAATTAAGATGGACTACAGTCAATATCCTGTTCAGGACTAGAAATTTGCTTGTCAATTTACTGCCTTTAACCAACTAGATATGTCTGCTTGTGGCTGATACATTGTGCATCTCTGTTCATGAGCTGGAGTATTGGACGATCATCATGGCCAAGTGTCGAGAGGGTTGTTTTAATTAAGCTTAAGGGATAAGTCAGCCAAGGTGACTTGCGAGTCATGTCTAGATATTTGGGAACACCCTCAATTGCAGACCGGTTGAACACTCTGGGTTATCCGACCTGAAGATATTTCTAACAGCACCCCGCCCTATTTATTTTCTCGTTTCAGTAAAGCGATTAAAAAGATTAAAATGAAAAATGTCACTGAGAATGAAAGAAACAAAGAAGACAAGAAAGAAACAGGATTCAAAAAGACTGAAGCTGACACCTGTGAGATTATGCGCAGCTTTTATTAAGACCTGTCATAATATCGCACACCTTTAGCTGTGATGTGTCTAATATACTATTGGCAATATCTACTCCTCGGTACTGCTCACATATTAAGGACAACGCTAACCATCAAATAAATCCATCACACCCTCATGGTAACCACAAGTCCAAGGGATGGACTCTGTAAGTGAACAAAGTGGGTCATTAAAAAATAACTTTGTTGGTTCCAAACTTATTGGAAATGATTGAAAAATACCCTCCCCTCCCCAATTTATAGGCAGAAGCACACAAACGCGTGCTGGGATTTCTTACTAGTCAATAACATAGGCCACTTGTCGGTTTCATCTAACTGGGTCCCTGTCTGTCTCCTCTTGAAGTCAGAACGTTACGTTCGTTTATCGAAGTCTGGCCCACAATTTTTAGCTTGTGAACATTTTGCCATATTACTGTTGCTTTGCCTCATTACTGTTCATTTGTCTTCTATATATTGTTTGTTTACTTTATATTATTTTTTGCCCTGTTCTTTTCTTTTTCTTATTGGTGTTTATTACAAACTTTATCAATTCTGTTCGTTGCGCATTTCTGCCATTTATTTACATTTAAACATGGCCACCCATTCTAAAAGTCTAAATAATAATAATAATAATAATAATAATAATAATATGCAAATGTCGCCTACGAAGCGCACACTAGCACATAAACGACATAATGAAGACTGAAAACGTTAATGTTAACTTCTGTATTTTGCAAGGTGATTCGCTTTTCTGCCATACGTTTTTTCACTTCTACTTATTCCTCTTTCAGTCAAACTGAATAAAAGACATTTTATTGATATCAAATCTGTGAAAAGTATAAAACAAAAGCATTTATTGCACATGGATGATTTGAAATCATATGTCAAAAATGGTAACGATTTGAAGCTCCTTCAAAACACAGTCAAGAAGTTCAGCGATCACAGAATGCATTCAATTCAACTTAGACAAATAGACAAAAACTAAAGCCTTTTGAGGGTACAAAAAAGAACTTGTTGCAAACTTCTTAATTATCACAAGATTAGATGACTGTTTTCGAACGACTTTAAAAATAAATAAATTAGATAACTATCCTTGTCTTTATTGTTTTGATCACTATGTTTTGATTGGTCCATTTTTCACACCTCCTCAGATGTTTGTCATATCTTGTACCTTTTTTTTTTAACAGAATCGTCTGCTCCCACTCCAATCGCCATACACTTGAAGTATTATGAGAATAAAGACAATACTTCCACGGAAAAATACTTTTATAAGCATTTGACGTTTGTCTGTGTTCACAGAGAGTTTATTGGCTTGTCGGAAAAATTCCATCAAAGACTTTTTCTCGTTATAGGAAAACGTCACCATACATCACTGACTTACATAAAATGTTTTGAACAGGATTACCTCTCTTTTCTAGCATTTAGTCTTGCACAAGGCCACGGGTTTTGGGTTACCCAATTTTCCTCGGAAATGTTTTCGCAGTTTTCTTCACTGTATCGTCCTTCATCTTCAGTAACCCTATGCGTCTTAGTGACTTTACCGGCTTGCTTGGAGTGAAATGATTGAAACAAAATATTTTTAAGGAAGGCAAAGATTATGAAGAACCAATAACATGATTGTTATAGATACCGCGATAAAACAGAACGAAGCCTAGAATATTCAGGAATCCAACCAGACGGATAGCATCGGTTGGGCTCTCTGGGGAGGAAGTGTGGGTTTGTAAACAGTGACTAGTACAGATAATAATGCAAGACTCTTCGGTAAAGCGAATCGAGTTCTCTCAGTCACTGTGTGTTTATCTAAAAATAAATACACTTAAATTCACCTTCATTCCTGCCGTGCACCAACGGCCTAGGGGTAGAATCCCCGACAGATGACAATTCAGTCGGGTTTTAAAAAATAGCTAGAGGCAACCGGACGTCTAGGCACACTGATGAGCTGTGAAACAGCGAAACAATCTGTCTGTGGATGACAATATATATATATATATATATATATATATATATATATATATATATATATATATATATATTTGGATGAAATAATGTATGTGGAAAACAAAGAAGCAGGAAATAGTGTTTCTATTAAAGGAGAATGGTAACTCCGAGAACATAGCGAGAATAATATTTCTAAAGTGAAAACTTCAGATTAAAAATAACGAGTATTTTTTTTGTGGGGTTGCAGTTCTTTTCCTTATTGGACGAAAACGACATGTTGCTACGTTTAACAATTTGTTTAACTTTCATTCAAACGTTTGATATTAGCGTAGAAATTGTTTGAAAAAGTTACAAACGCTCTCTCACTTTCTCATACGTCCCTCTCGCTTTCTCTCTGTCCTCATCCAATATAGAAAATAGCATCAATAAGAAACACTAAACATCCATGAACCGAACAGTTTGTTTTACTGTCGATTAAAATGTATAAAATCTTTCTTGAAACATTTCTCCAGAAAAATAGATACCTCAAGTCCACTAACTGTTATCGCTCTTCCTACAATTGATGGGAGTTTCCGATCAAATCTTTTGTTGTTGGTACTGTGGAAAATTAACAAAGCTTACGACCATATCACGTTGAAATATCAGTTCCGTTAAGCAAGTAACTAGATGGGTGACCACTGTGGGAATACCAGGTGCTGTAAGCTTGGATGTGCGGCTGGTGTAATGGATAATGGCTCGGAATTGTTAATCGGGGAGCCGAGTTCCAGTTTCCATTTTGCTTCGTTCTATTCATTTATGCACAAATACCCTTGGGAAAGGTATGAATTCACCTCTTCTTCCCCAGCTATGGGTTAATTAGTAAGAATTGTATCACTATATCATTATTATCTCAAAAAATATCCTACAATCTAAAAACATTTTCTGGCTTTAAATAACTTGCAAGGGGTTGATAAACCGTAGAAAAATAATCAATGAAATCATGAAGATCATTCTTGAAGGTCATTATTGAAAATTATGAAGATTATTCTTAAAAATCATGAAAATCATTCTTGAAATTCATGAAGATCATTCTTAAAAATCATGAAGAATATTCTTGAAGATTATTTTTGGTCCTTCTTTCTTCAAGATCATTCTTATACCAACTATGAGCACCTATGTCATCAGCATTCCTCCTTTATTATAACCCCCTTATTATCAGTACACTGGCCTCTAGTGGGAAAGTAAAAATGATGTTTTCAATCAGTGCATTCATTTGCGATGTGACACGGTTTATTTAAATGTTCGAGAACCATTTTTCACATCTGTGCTTATAAACCCACATAGCATTGTCCAAGAAAAGTTTCAAAGATTTTGGGACTCTCATTTCCTCTATGGCGTACACCTGACGATGTTTTAAACGAGAGTTGACTTTGGGGTCTTCACCAAACATATGACTTCATCTGAGTTCATCTATCAGATCAAAGCAGTCAGAGGTTTTCTGGTGGATAAGAAATATTTCCTATTAATGCTTGGGGATGAGTGTTGGTGAGGTTGAACCCCACTCCATCAGATCTTATCAATGAGGCAAGTCATTGTTATGATGCACAACAGGATTCATTACCAAATGCTTCATTAATTGATTGTTTTGTTTTCTACGGTTTATCAACCCTTTCTAGGTTATTTAAAACCAGAATTTTTTTTTATATTGTAAGAATTTTTTTAGATAATAATGGTTTGGTGAAATAAGTCTTACTAATTAATCAATAATAGCTGAAACCATCCTGAAAAATATTCATACCTAATCAGAATTTGATAAAAAAAAAAGTGATTACAAAGTGGAGGATCAATTCTCTATTACAATCAATATAACAACTGATCCCTCACTTTATGGTCACGGTAGTTTCCATGCCTTTCCATATATTAGGGAGAATTAAATAAATCTAAGACATACCTGTGTAGTTAATCACTATTTTATTGCGAAATATTTGATTCCTTTTCTAGGGCTTATCAATCCTTTTTAGGTTATTTAAAGCCAGAAAATATTTTTTGAAGGTAAGAATTCTTTTTTTTTTTTTAGATAATAATGATTTAGTGATACAAGTCAATTAACACCTGACTGAGAGACAAGAGGTTGATTCTTACCTTTCTCAAGGGTATTTTCGAATATTAGAAACCCGACTCTCCGATTTCTCATCCAGAATCGTTATACATTACACATCCAAGTTTACAGCACCTAATACCCCCAAATGGTCACCCATCTAGGTACTGTCCAAGTTTTACGTTGCTTAACTTCAGTTATCGAACCGGTCTTTTGTAATCATATTTTCGTAAACCTTTGTCTTGAAAAACCATTTTTATTAAAACATTAGAAGTTTTTTTTTTCCTTCTGTGGGCTTTTAATGAAAGTTTTGTCGAGTCTAGCAAATTTAAAATTACATTCAAAGCAGTTAAGCAATGGTACGTTGAAATGTACGGAGAAGTGATAGATAAATGAACAGAAGAAGCATTAATATCTTATTATATGAAATCGAGTTATCAACCTTTTTGAAAAAAATTTAAAACTAATAAATAAAAATATATTATAATTTTTTTTTTTTTATTTAGATAATTTTTTTTTTCTGATACAACTTTTTTCTTTAATTTAAAACTCATTGAAAGGGAGACTAACATTAATCCTTTCCTATATTTTATATAAGTGAATATTAGAAACCCGACTCTCCGATTTCTCATCCAGAACCGTTATCCATTACACCACCCGCATATCCAAGTTTACAGCACCTACTATCCCCAAGTGGTCACCCATCTTATAAAAAAAACACGGTTGACGTTGCTTTAGATTTATTTATTATATTTTATAAGAGATGAATTTTGTTTTTGTTAAAAAAATGAATATAATTTAACAAAATTAACAAAGAATTAGAACTCATTTACACTCAATTAATTTCAACAGCCATTTGACTTTCATTTTTTAATTTCAAATCCAAATTTACAGTGATGTGGTATAGGAAAATATAAATTTATATTCCCAGTATATAAGGTACTGACAAGGCTTGACATTGCTTAAATTCGGTGATCACACGCGAGCCGGTGTTATAAAAGATTTTATTTTTCAACGTAAAATCTTTTGAAATTGCATTTTTGAGGATATTTTTTATTTTTTATTATATCTCATATTTTATTTTAATTCACAAAAGAAAATATGTTATAAGATTGTTGTTAAAAGATTTTATTTTCCAGGTCTATTTATGTAGATCAATTGGTTTCAAAAAACCCTTCCTCTCCCAGAAAGGTTACAAAGACTTTAACCAATATTTAAAAAATCCAGTCCTGATTTTTTACACCTTTCTCACAAGTTATTTTATTAATTTGTATTTCAAATTGACAGAAACATATCAATTGTTGTTAATCAGATTGCAATGCGACAAAATAATGTATTTTTAAAAATGAACATGTTTTTCATTTTATAAGAAAAATGTTTTTCCAAAGTAGAAAATATAAAAGCCTATTGAACGGTATAGTTATTTGGAAGTAAATATGCATATGAATAACATATTTTTCTTGAAATGAAATATGCTAAAATCGTTTTTTTGAATAAGGTTGGGTGATGATACCTGGATGATGTTTTTTTTTTATTTGAATGACAAATTTTCAATTGATATGGAGAAATTATCGAACTATAAGTAAACCCTCCAAATGTCTTCATTAAATAAGTTGCCATTTTTAATTGTATTTCATTTGTTGTTAAGGAATTTGCATTTTTTTTGATTTCATTAATATAAGGAAACTTGTTTAAATATTTTAACATTAACTTCATTGTTTTTATTTTGTTTTTTTTCTTTCTTTAAACCTCCGGACCAAGGCAGTCTTCTAGTCGTATATTTCATTATATTTCGAGACAATTTATTATAGTAAATTTGATATATATGGCCCTCCTCTGAGACACTATATAGCTTTCTATATATACTCATTTATATATATTATTTACTCCTGATGAGATCAAAAATGATCCATTAAAATTCATATTCAATAAAAAAATATTAATTTCATACAATTAATTATTTTTAACATAATCTCCTTCTTTGGCAATGCACTCAATTCAGTGATGAATATGAAATTACGTCAACAATTATGATCCAATAAAAATATTTTCAACAATAATTATTTATTTTTCAACGTAATCTCTTTCTCTGTCAAGTCAGTTAATGCAGCCGTTAATATTTCTCATATACGAGAGAGTGCTGAAAAGTTCTCAGACGTACCAAAAGGAATTTTTAAAAATTCTTATATTTTGTCATTTGATTAGAGTTTGGGAAGTGGTTCCAGCCAAGAAAATTTCAGGTAACTTCTCGTAGTCAAACATTATACAGTGAAAATTTCGGATCTAAACTGCTAATAATTGATGCTTTTACCTGCACTCTGGAAGAAACATTCACCATTCATGCTTGTTGTAATAAATTTCTTGAACGTTCTAAAGAAAAATTTTAGAAGTATTTAAATTATTTTTGAAGAGTGTTTTTGAAAATCTAGTGTCTCTGAAAATTGTGTCCTCTCTGTGTCTCTATCTGTGCATTTGTTGCCCACCAGTCAATGAGACTGACGATAAATTTGACATAAAAAAAATATTTATTTAAAAAAGTAATTTCAAACATGCATGGTTCTCCAAAAATTGCATATACTAATTTGTCTTTTATACAAAAAAAGTATATATATATATATTATATATATGATTCAATAGAACAATGATTTGTTCTGCCCATAACGATATTTGTTTCCGGTCCTCAATGAAGCAAAAGTACTATTTATATGCTCAAATGAAAGAACGTATTGCATCTCGCAAATTTGGCTCCAAGGATTATTGGCGTCTCTGCATAAAGCGTATTTAACAATAGCAAACCTTCTATACCTCCTTTGTTCAACAAGTTCGAGGTTCTGACCTCTTCTGTCGACAAGGCTGAATGCTTTGCTCGGAAGCGCTCGGCTCTTCCGGTGTACCCACACCCGATTTTCTCCTTCGCTCAATTGAGCGACTTGGACATAACCCCGTCATCAGTTCTGGGTATCATCTCTAAATTAGAGCTCCACAAGGCTAGTGGTGAAGACGGGATACCAGCCATTGTCCGGAAGAAATGTGCGCCTGAACTGACCCCTGCTCTCTCCAAATTATATAACTACTGCCTCAATGAATCTTGTTTTCCAGCCAGCTGGAAGTCTTCATCCATTGTTCCTGTCTTTAAGAACTCTGGAGACCCTTCTGACCCTTCTAATTACCGTCCTATCAGTCCCCTACCCATCTTCGGCAAAATCTTCGAAGCTTTAATCAACGACGAAGTGGTTAAGCACCTTACATCCCATGATCTGCACTCCGACAAGCAATATGGTTTCCGCTTTGCCCGTTATACAGCTGATGTACTTACGGCCATAACTGAAATTGTTTACCAAGCTCTTCATAATAACGGAGAAGCTCATGCCATGGCTCTTGATATCTCCAAAGCGTTTGATAGGGTTTGGCATGCCGGCCTTCTTCGCAAGCTTCAGGGTTATGGAATTTCAGGTCGATTGTTTGACTTAATACAATCATTCCTGTCAAACCGTGTATTGAAGGTCGTTCTCAACGGATTCTCCTCCAGCTCCTATCCCACGAACGCAGGTGTTCCCCAAGGCTCCATCCTAGGCCCTACTCTGTTCCTTATCTTCATCAACGATCTTCCTGACGTCATAGATTCCCAAGTAGGCATCTACGCGGACGACACTACTATTTACTCCTGCCTCAAAAACAAATCTAGTGTCGCTGACAAAACTAATCTGGCCGTTCGTCTCGAAAAGGACCTCCAATCGGTTGTGAACTGGGGCAGGAATTGGCTGGTTAACTTTAATGCCTCAAAAACAAAACTGCTCTCTATTACTCACCATAGAGAACCATCCCTGCCCCCCCATTAGAATGTCTGACGCTCAACTCCTCGAGAGCACCTCTTTGCGACTGCTCGGTCTCACATTGTCTGCTGACCTGAGATGGAACAAATACATTGAGTCAATAGCTTCGTCCACCGCAAGGAAAGTTGGCTCCCTGTGCCGCGCCAGGAAATTTTTTCTCGCCGGAATCGATCCTTCAAATCTACAAATCAACCATTCGCCCTTGCATGGAGTATTGCTGCCATATATGGTCTGGAGCCCCTTCTGTTTGTCTCAAGGTCCTTGATAAAATCCAGAGACGGATATGCAATGTAATTGGCCCTGATCTGGCATCTCGTCTGCAGTCGCTCTCTCACAGACGTGCCGTCGCCTCCCTCTGTCTTTTTTTTTTTAAAATACTTTCATGGTAACTGCTCCGATGAGCTGCTTTCGCTGGTTCCCAGACTTCATGAATTTAAGCGTTCAACTAGGCTGGCATCTCGCTCTCACCCTTTCACTGTCGAAACTGTTAAATGTAGCCGTCTCTTCTACTCAATAGCTTCATGTCTCGCACCTCTCCCCTGTGGAACTCCCTCCTCTTTTCCTGTTTCCCTGATAGCTATAATCTCCAACTATTCAAATGTAATGTCAATCGACGTCTCCAGATGCCCTGATCTATCCCCTATCCTTCTCTTCATCCTTTCCTCTATCACTCCTATTTGCTCTCGCTCCAACTCTCTGTAACCCCTTGCGTGCTAGTGGCTTCCCGCTTTGCTTGGGGTGAAACGCTTAAAAAAAAAAATATTTTAAAATTGATATATTTTCTACTATATTATTTTATATATTTATCCCAATAATT